TCTCGGCGTTGCTGGTAGGGTCCAACGGAAAGGAGATCAACAAACAATTCATTCTGCCTTGCATATAAAATCGAAACAAATATATTGCCATCATGAACGAAAACGATACATCAAAGAAATAGACTTTACAAAATTTCACAAATATAAACCGTACAGTGAAAACCTTATGGAACAAGAATAATAAGACAATTTCCCCACAGAAAACAAATGTGATCAGTTCACGAAAGTAAACAAAAAACAAAAGCATAATAATCGTCAGTGAGAGGAATAAAGACAATGGTTGCTTTAACTCCAGCAGAGAAAGAATGTCTTGTTCTTTACATGATATTGTAGGTAGCATTTGTGGTGCAGAGGAACACGCAAGGCATCGGTGTACTCAGACAGTATCTCTGTCATCATGCAGCAAGGATATCAGAAGCCACAAGGGTTTTTTGCAATTTTCAGGTCTTGAGACAATATTGAACTTATCTTAGCAAGAAGCGGGATTCAAGTGAAGTCCGTCAATTTTTTGGAAATTACTGTATGCCCATTACATCGATCAAGCCTTTGAATACGATGGAGGTAGATTATGTTCTGTGCCACAGGATGTTTCCAGTCACAAAAAGGAATCTAAAGAAGTGCCCGCAGCAGAAAGGAGAATTACTTTGCAGTACTCAATATATATTTTTGAACTTACAAAAAACCTTGTATCTGTCGGATCAGGTAAGTGATTACAATGAGTCGTGATCTTTTAAGAATTGACATCCCTGTAGTTTATGCTCAGTGTATGTAAGGATAAACATCCATATAGCTTCTCATTTCACGCAGGGTACTTGGTGGGAATCACAGACTTCATATCATTACATTACATTACATTACATACTTTATTGTTACCTCCCCAATGGGGCTTTTCAGAAACAATTATTTAAATTACTAAAATTACTAATAACTACACAATTAAAATTAATTAAATTTAAGAAACATTTACGACATTATCTAAACTTTATAGTCGAGAAAAATACTAAAAATAAATGAAGTTTAAGGAGTATTTACAAAATTGTCTAAAAGCTTATTCTTTAAGATACGTTTAAAAACT